CCTCTTTACTTCTCGTTTCTAATTTCAATTGAACGACACTCAACGACAATTTCATTGATTGTACATTCGTTTGATTCTAATGATAATGTCTCGACGAAAGTCCTGTAAACTCCAAATTTAAATACAGGTTTTATGAATTATAATTAAATGTGCCAACGTTGCTAATATTTGGCTTACTGGGTTTTTTTTTTAACCATGGCTGATATTTCTTTTTTTGCCTGCGACTACATAAATACGTAAAAATTTGAAAAAATTAAATTATATTTTGTTTGTTAAACAGTCATTTTGATCAAGTGCGATTTAACCTTGTAAGCTCTTAATGGCCACGAGAGAGCTGCGAAATTTTTCCAGACCAACTTTTATTTTTGCCGAAAAGTTCCGGAAAGAGAACGGAATCAAATTCTCCTTAAGGGAACTGAATCAATGCAGTAAAACCACTTCTCATGGAACGTACGAAAGTTCTTTTGTCGGGAATAATGAAGGATAAGTCAAAATACGCTTGCTTCTTTCGCGTAAGCTCGCGCGCTTTTGCCGAGGCATCGCTGCTCGTGAAGCTTTTACAAAGTTATCAATTCTCAACAGTAGGAAAAAAATCTGCTTTTATCTACGAACTTTTTTTACTTCTTCGAGCAATCGTCAATATTAAATTGCGTAATACATTTGAAATATTCATTCTATTTTGTGTATTGTTAATATGTTAATATATTAGAAGAAGTAAAGTAAAATCTTGTTTTTCTTTTCTCGCGTTCTTTCTTGTCTTCCATTTTTTAAAATCACATATTTTATTATTTGTATTTTGTTATTTTTAAACTCATTGGATTTTTTTTCAGACGCGTTTGAATTAATTTCAAATGCAGAAAAATTTCCTCGGAAAACTTTTATTGCAACGGAAACCTGGTGCATCCAACAGCAGTTTATGTGTACCAAGACATATTAAAATACACTCGTCTTCATATATACTCATTATTTCCGACTTTATTCATCATATTTTTAGTCTCAAATTTAGTCGCTTTCTATCTCTGTATTTATACTTGAATGTAATTATAGCGCTTAAATATCCTAAATAATACTCTAGTTGTTATTTAATCGTACAAACAATGCTAATTCCAAAAATAATACATTTACGCCTGAAAGAGAAAAAAAAATTGCATTTATTCGTGTAAATTTAAAAGTACGTTCTACATTTTAAGCTGCGTTGAATAGAAACGCTTTCGGCTTTGCCGGCATTTTTACATCCGGCTTATATATAGCGAGCTTATGACGTTATAAAGAGGGCGGTTGCCTTTTTTTCCTTTTTTTATTACACAAGCAATACCTCTCGCACGCTTGGGGTAATAAATCCCGGTTTTATTTCCAAGCTACAGACGAAAACATTCTTAATGTGAATTGCAAAGAAGCCGCATTGTCAGAGAAGTTGATAATGATGCATTCTCAAGCATAAGATGTAACGTTTTACGCGTCTACGTCATTTTTCTTCCCTCTTCCACACTGAAATCACTACCACTGCTGTTTCCCATCTGTTTATCTTTTAACCAACATTCTTCAACATCACTTCTTGTGCAGCATTGCAACGCGTTGCTTGCATTTGCTTATTTTAATCAATGTGGCTATTAGAAAATGTGCATAGAGTGCAATCTTTGAAATTATGAATATCTTTTATTTTAATCGTAAAACAAAATTGAATTTAACAGTGTAAATATCGTATACTTGTTTTATCTGAAAATTAAGTTGTTAAACGAAAATCTTAATCTGAAACTAAATTACATGAAAATAATTTAATATTTACTGAATTTAAGATAATGAAATCTCTGCTGTTAATGATGACGAAGGGAGTAGCTAATTTCTTTATTATAATTAGAAATTACTCGACGTGACGGGAATATCACACGCGATTAAGTGAGATAGAGACAGGATATTAGAGTATTGGAGGATGCGAAGGCAGCAGGCAATTATCGAGCGTCGTCATTGTAATTGCATCGACGGTCGGGACACGAGATTAGATTCAGGAATCGGCGGTTTCCTTTTTTGCTCTCTCTCTTCTCTCTCTCTCTCTCTCTCTCTCTCTCTCTCTCTCTCTCTCTCTCTCTCTCTCTTTCTCTATGTCCCCTTCCTGTCTTTCCAGTAGCCTAGATTACACTAATTAGTAGGTCACTGACAGATATTAATTATCATTCGACTGCAGAATCGTTACAATGCGCCATTATGCCATGCGGACTATCGCCTCCACATGCCGTTCGATAAGCGCCGTCCGATTTTGCATTCGGATTTCTATGTAAATGGCACACGGAACACGGCAAATGCTCGCAAAAACTATCGCGGGATCGATTTTTTTAATTTTACATTTTTTAAATTAATAAAAAGAATCTGCGCGGTCGAATATATTTCTTTAAAAAAAATTAAATTTTTATTTTAATTTATATTTTAAAATTTTCTAACTCAAGACGAAATTCTATTTTTAATTTTATTTGATATGTATTCTGATATATATACATACGAATTCTGTTATTCTGTGTAGCTGTGTGCTCGAACAATTTCTGCCCACAATATGTTCCACATAAATAAAATTATACTTCTAAATTCTGTCGCGTGATCGAGTAAAGTGAGTTTTAATCTTTTTGCCATTTTGCATTGCATTTGGATTTAATTCACATTCACGCCGGTTTTGCCGGCGATATTTTGCATTGCGATAGACGCGTTTATTGCTTTATCTCTCATTTATTATTAATTGTCATTTTATTTCGACAATTAATAACATAAATTTTGGCACGCCGGTGTATACACAGTTACGTGCATAATATCACATAGGGGAAATTGAGAAGAAGTACATGCGATTTAATTCAAGAGCGCACTCGTAATTTTGCTCTGTCAATTTGATTTTCGCTCGTCACTGCTGCAGAATTAACGAGCAATTTACCCAAAGTAGTATAATATGCCCTTTATTGAGAGAGAAAGGTAGAGCTATAAAGCTCAATATGCGCGATAAAACCGAATGTGATAAAACCGATTGATTTGATCGTGCAGCGTGCGCGTTTGTCATCAGAAATTTATCGCTTTACAGCGACAATTTGACCTAGTAAAATATTTCTGTTAGCGGTATTTTTTCCTCGAATGTAATATAATATCAAGCACATCATTTCTACGTTTTATTTACATTTATACTGTTCATTGCATTTGTTTTTTTTATCGATTATATTTTATCGCGTGTATTTATCGGATTATATACGTACCGAAGTATGAAAATGATTGATAATCCCCGAAATCACACAGCACATTCACAGGACTGATCGTTTTACATTTTCCAAAGTTTATTCTCATCAGCAAAATTAAAGTGCATTGTGCCAGTACACAATGCATCTTTTCATAACTGGATTTATGTACATCCGAAACGATAATTACTTGCATTGTTTGCATTTTTGCATCGCATTTACTTCTTCTTTAAATCGAATCTCTGTGAATTCACATCGAAATGACAGAGTCAGAGCAATCACTACTTTAAATCAGAATGATTAATACCGTATTATTATAGCAATTCTCATTATTTGTTAGTATTATTATTAAAGTACAGTTATAATTATTACTATATATTTTAATTTCTTGTTTAAACTGAATTTAATAGAAAGTGAAGAAAATGAGATCTGGCAGATGTAATGAAAATATGTGATTGCCACATGATTCCATATCTTCCGTATATTTAATAACACAAAAATTGAATTTTCCCGAGAGCGGCTCGGAAACGATGTGGTGCGAAATCAATCCGTGTCCGCGAGAAAGCATTTTAACAAGCTCCGCGCTGCTGTGTCTCTTCTCGATTGCCAATCGAACAAAGTAAAATAATGCAAAAGTAAAATGTACCAGCGGGAATCAATAGCCTTTCGAATTGTAAAAGCATTTTATTTGACAGATTCGATGCCAAAAGCGCAAGCAATTTACCGAAAAAAGCACTTCCGCTCTCGAACTTAACAAACAGTTTCGATAGGCTAATTAAAATCGCGGTAACCAATAATGCCGCAGAAAAATTGTAATTGCAATGTGAAAAAATTCATTTAAAATCTGCAGCTCAATTAAACTGCAAGTTTAATCAATTAAATATAAAATTGTTTAATTAAAATTTATTAATTGAAGTGACTCACAATTAAATGTGATGTTCTGACTAACAGAAATATTTTATATTTTATTTTAATAATTATTATATTAAATATTTGTATCGTAAAAAATAGAACTGCTATCTTTCATACATTAAGAGTTTCACATATTTGCTATAAATTTTTGTATTTTTACACATTCTTTTTAATTTTTAAGCGTTTACATTGAAAAACTGACTACAGCTACTAATTAAAATATTCCACCGCAACATATTACTATAATCAGCAAACATAATATTCGAGGGATTAATTAATTTTTTTATAGCAGTCGGTCTTTTTACAAACACATCTCGATACGATTGTTTGATATCGACCGCGTCCTGTTATGGGACTTCTTTTCACGGGGGGGATCAGTCATCGTGAAAGACGACGGGATGAATTCATCACGCGCTGATGCAAAGAGCGGGAATTAACTCTTTTTGCTTCTTCTCGCACATTAGTGTGCTCGCGTATATTCGCGTACCTTCCGATTCTGAAATATGCGGACGTATCCGCGCTGATGAGCAACGCCGTATCGCATTTAAGTTACGTCGATTTATCATTGGTCTCTCTCGGAAAAACCAAGCCGTAGTTGTGATAATTTCTGTATTTTATGTTGCATGAAAAAATTATTCTGAAAAAATGCGTAAATTAATGAATTTGTAATCATTTTTAATCACCTCATCAATTCTCATTCCACATGTCTTGACACGTTATACAGTCATCAAAAATTTTCATTAAAATTCTCTTGAACAAATTATTCGCATTTTTAATTAATAATTAATATGAGGGAATTTATAATTTAATTTTGACCGATGAATTAATTGAACGGACAAAAGAGAACGAATAAAATAGGCGAACGAAATTATCATTTTTCAGGCGCTCCCGAGGACAAGCTCTGGGGCAATATACCAGGTGGCCCGCTACCACCGGAACGACCGTCACCGCCAACTCCTACGACTACGATTAGGACGACGACGACGACGACGACGGCGAGAACGAGGACAACGTACAGGCCATGGAGGACAAGGCCCACCAGACCGAATCATTATCCGGACGACGGTAGACCCCGACAACCGGGTCGATATCCCGAGAGGCAGAAACCGGATTATCGGCAGCACAAAACTCATCGGCATCACACGACATGGTCGACGACAACGACGACAACAATGAGGCCCACACCGAGATTCAGACACCGATGGACCCCACCGCAGCGGGACGACGTGCCTGACAAGTGTGACACCAGCTATGACGCCATCAGCATCATCCGCAGGGAGGTCTTTGTTTTCAAAGGACGAGTGAGTATACAATAATAAGTATTAGGCGTTATTACTGTTCTATTTTCTTGCAATACGAAGGAATAATTTTTATTTTTTGAAGGCAATAAGATAATTATTCAATATTTAAAGAAATTGTTGATATTATTTTAAGAATAATTTTAATTATAAAATATTTCTAGCGATTTTTACTTCATACAACGATTAGCTAAAAAGATTCTTTTTGACCCGCAGTATCTGTGGCGAATAGGCGATTTCGGGATTTATGAGGGATATCCGGCAGAGATTATTAGGCTATTTAACTTGCCACCAAATATTGATCACGTGGACGCCGTGTATGAGCGGCCAGACAAGAAAATAGTCTTCTTCATCGGCCGCGAGTACTACGTCTTCAACGCTAATAATTTGGAGCCGGGCTATCCGAAGCCATTAACGAATCTAGGATTACCGCTAGCTCTGGAGAAGATTGACGGCGCCATGGTGTGGGGCCACAACGGCAGGACCTATTTCTTTAGCGGCTCTATGTACTGGAGGTAATTATATCATTTTTTAAATTGTATTTTCAAAATTGGGTTTTATATTTTTATTTTTCAACTTGTGTAACAATCTTTATCGAAAAATTATATCAATTTAAATCAAAACATGTTTCACACATTTTTCTTTGGACACAGTGAATCAATGAAATAGACCAGCTTCTTTTAATTCTCCAAAATTGTAATTTTTTATTGCACAGGTTCGATGAATCTATCAATTACGTGGAACTCGATTATCCCAGAGAAATGAGCATGGCGTTCACTGGCGTTGGAAACGACATTGATGCCGTTTTCCAGTGGAAAGATGGTAAATTTTGAAAATCAAGTGTTTTTTTAAAATAACTTTATTATAAAAATCGTATATATAAATTTATCTATAAATTTAATTTAACTATTAACGCTTCATATATTTCTGATATAATTTTAGCATTAATCAACTGATTATTTCTTTATCTCTATATAATTTTGTTCGCGGCTTTCTACACGGTAATTCTACAATTTTACTTTTTCGGTAGGCAAAACATATTTCTTCAAGGGCAAAGGCTTTTGGGAGTTCGATGATCTCACGATGAGGGTAGCGCATGAGAAGCAGAAACTCTCGGCGCCAGTCTGGATGGGCTGCCCGCCGCCGGAAGTGGAGACCAATGATATTGAGACCAATCTACCCAGGAAGTCGAAGATTGTCTCTGCTTCTGCCACCGTAAATGCGGAAAGTACTATGCTGCTACTCGTAATAATCGTCACGAGCTTCATCGCGAGGATAATGTACGTGTAAAAACAAAGTAAGTATTTTCGCATTTGGATGATTAACTTTTCTAAAGAGAGAATAATTCAGAAAAATTTTTTTTTAATTGTAGAAACTACGGTTACATTTTGCTTCTTGTATTTTCAGATTATCACTGTAACTACGCGCAATGAGGAGCATTTCATAATTTACACAGGGATTTCACGTGCAAACAGCAAAAGTCAGATTTTCACAGTGGACCGTCAGTGGATTTGGCAAAGGCACATAGTAAAAGAACATGTTGTTTGCGTGTTGAATGAAGATTCAAAGGAATCTTATGTCACACACATTTGTATCTACGAACTTGATCTCTTCGCTAATCCTCCCGATGGAAGAAACGTGGTTTGAAGCTCTGAGATTGTTGATATCGGCCTACATCACGGAATTCCCCCTCCATATTTTCGAGAGGAGGATATATCGTATTTGATAATCGTAAAGATCGATTATAAAAATTTTGAGGTACAATATTACGAAGAAAGAATTGAATTTTTTCCATAAATATTCTCCACTTTCATAAAACCGCTCTTTACTTTGGATAAAACTATATTGATATAAGAGAATATAATCTTCTCTCTCACGAAAAAAAGTGACTTAAGTCCATATCATGAATTTTAACAAAAATAGTACCACTGTGCCGCACGGAAGCATATTTTTGTACACTGCCTCTTTACACGGCCGCATTTACATGTGAAATAATTAACTTAAGAAGTAATTTATAGCGCTGAACGAGCGACGAGTCCCCGAACAAAAGCGAGAGTCCTTGAAGACGTTTCACAGACAATCTTGCGATCCTAGCAATTGCAAACTGCCACTGCCAAAAATCCATCCAACATTTTTCGATGTTTCTTTACAGAGGTTTTTTAATCGAGAGGAGTGTTCTCGCGTTGTATATCTTTCTCAAGGACCGTCACTGAAAAAGAACCCTACGATCGTCCGTAAATCGCAATGCAATTTTTACTTGGAATCGAATCGGCAAACTCTAGGCAATAAAGTAATCGATTCCGACAGACTACGTATTTTATATAAATATTGTAATAATTATTAATACCGCATAATTTAGTAAAAAAGGACACGAGCAAGACGCAGTGTCGCCAGTTTTGTAAACTGTGATATTTATATACCGCGCGATCAAGTAGTTAGTATAATGTCAAAAGAAATAGCACAAAATCAATTTCGCAGATTTTTATACAGGGGTGTTTCTGAGATATTGACACGAGCTTTGCAGACGTATTTCATCTTAACACCAACGTGTACGATTTCCAAATTGCATGGACTTTTATTTCTAAATTTCGACGCTTAACAGTCGAGACTCCAATTCGTAAAAAGTAAAAAATAAAAACTGACTACTAAGCCAATTTTTGCAAAAAAAAAATTGGTCTTTGATTAATCTTGAAATAGGCTTGCAAAGTTTGTTCACGTTCCGAATGTACACACACTCGCGTATATACATGTTATATATAATTATATGAGTATATTATATAGTCGCGCATATCGCAGAATGTACTGTGTCAGTGAAATGCGCAGCATTGAGACGGAGACGAACGATATGATATTATATTTCTGTTATCGATTAACGACGACTCAATTTTTGTTCTTCCGATTGAGTAATTGTTGTTGAGAAACGCATCGGGACAATACATCTCGCTCATACCGAACGAACGAAGCGAGAAAGCTCCCTTCGTTTATTCCAAACTTAAGGGAAAAGTTAGCGTAATATTGCTGATTATATGCTATACGTATTTTATATATGTAAGTTCGTGCTTTATATGTGTATATACGGAAATAAAGTGATTTCGCGTGCGCGCGAACACATGCCCAACGCAATTTCCCTGTTTCGACAATGTTCTCTTTTTCTTTCAATCATTTTTATGTGTGCCATTTAAAATATCAGGATTGGGTTTGTGGAAAATGTAAAAACACTTTTTGTATAGTTATCGTTCATATATTTAACAAAAGCATGTACATTCTGGCGGATCAACTTTAGGATATGTCAACAGAATCTCCTTTTTTTCTTCACAATATTTTTATACATTGCATTTCGATAACTGGACAGATAAAATTATGATTATCTTATTTGTTCCTCTCGATACAATTGATTTACTCCAGGTTGAGCAAGGGATATGACGACCATGATGCGTTCAAATTCGGACTTCACTATTTATAACATCTACGGGTTTCTAATTAACAATTATTTCACTATGATAGTACAATACGTCTAGTGAAGAAAACAAGAAATGAAGATAAAATTCACAGACAAAATAACATGACTGGAGAAAAACTTAACGATGAACATTTTTATTGATAAACGCAATTTCTTTATCACATGGTTCATATATGACCAAGTATGTCCGGGTCTTAGGCTCATACCGATTTTATTAGACAAGCGAAATTAGCGTATATTTTATTAAGCGTACGTTCGAATCGCACCATAGTGCGTCTTTGGAGATCTCGACGTGGAAAATCTCATCGATGCTCGCGGTATCGTCGACGAGGTTCGTACGAAGAAGATGTCGCCCTATGCTAGGGACACGAATCCGGCGGATCCCCCCACGGGTTCAAAGCTCGCAAAGTGGATCGCACGATCGTGTCCACTTCTGCCATCGCACCCATTCCTATGTCGCCACACATCAGCGTCTTGGATATGCAATGTATCTCCTTATAACCCCAGGATTTGAGCAGTGATACCTGTCAAACAAAAAGAAATCTTTGTGACTCTATTTTTCACTGAGAATCTGAAAGAAAAATAAATGGGAAAGCAAAATAAAATATTAGAAAAAATTTGATTCTCTAATTGATCTCACTTGCGGCATGGTAACCGGATGTTCCCACATTTTTGTATTCATGGATGGGCAAAACAGGAGCGGTTTTGCAGGATCCCAAGCGCGCGCCACACATGTGACGATATTGTCGCATATACCACTGGCGATCTTGCCCAATGTATTGGCATCCAGCGGTGCTATCACAAACACGTCCGCCCACTTGACGAGATCTATGTGTAGGACTGGATCGCCGCGATCCTGCCAGGCAGCCCATTCCACTGTGTCGGACAGCACTTGAATTTCAGGTGGCAGCTGGGCATCCTTCAGGAAGTGTTTGGCTCGCTCTGTCACGACCACTCTCACTTCTAAGTGGTTCTGCCGCAACATCTCTACCAACTGCGGCAATTTGATCGTGGCCACGCTACCGGTGCAACCGACTAATACTTTCCTTCTAGAAGAGCTCGCCATTCTTTTCACCTTTGCTACCTTTTGTTAAATATACTCTGCGCTCTAACAGAATTTGGACTATCAACGTGATAAATATTCAGTATTCTCTATTCAATCTATACAATATCTATCTATATAATATCTCAGGCCACTTAGGTTGCAACACAATCCAACAGCTTAACAAACTATAGAGATGCCTTTATATTAAAGCTCATAAAACCCAACCCACCGGTGTCAAGCAGTCTAATTATTAATCTGTTTCTCTTGAAAGCAAAAGTACATGGACCTTTAATATTGTTTAATTTATCTTTGGTGTTTCTTTAAATCTGTTATTTAATTGTGCAACACTGACGCAAAAAAAGCTTATCACAAAAATCCTTATCACACCTGGCTGGCAGTGTGTATCCTTGCCTGAACACTAACTCCAATTGTAAATCACCCTCTATTTTTTTGGTGTCTCATTTACATCGAACAGAAGTTTCATGAACACTGATAGGCTGGGGATGTGCACCAGGCACTCTCAAGGGCAGTAGTTTCCAGAAACAAACTAATGATAACAGCAACGACGATAACGACGACGAGGACGAGGATGTACGTCTACTTTTTTTTTGCGAGATACGGAATATCACTCTTGAAGACGATCTCGGTGTTACGTTTTCTTGATTTCATCGGCGAAACCGAGTTTGGACCAGTCCTCGCGCGTCATCAAATCGTGGTCCATACGACAGCCGAGATATTCCTTGGCAATATCGCGACACATCGCATTCTGATTACTGTTCTCGGCTAGGCAGCGCATATATTTGATCATTGTGCGCTTGCAGCGGCCTTCATGGTCCAGCGGAAAGCTGCCCCGCTCCGGGGGCGTCGGCGTGAACAGCTTCTGCGAGAACGTGTACGAGGACATAATACGTCACTTTCTAGCCATGCGAATTATGCGAACGCAATCCGAAGAACACGAGAATTGAAAAACGAATCGACGCGGTGCAACGTTTACCTTTTCAATGAAAAGCAGCAGTCACCATTTTGACAACGAATCTATGTCACGAACACTGAATGTATATATATTGGAATACGCCATAGCACTCAGGGCGCAAGATGACGGAGAGGGCAGCAGCAATGACGTCTCAAAGGAGACGCGGCCCCGAAAACCGTAACACCGTAAAGAACCGCGTATATATGCGCTCCTTCAAACCATAAAAATCATATTATCACTTTATCGAAGTTCCGACTTTTAATATTTATTTAACAAATTATAAACAATTGGCATTTTAAATTTTGCAAAAAATATCTTCCGGTAACTTTAAAAAAGATGTAGAAATTGTTCAGGAATTTTATCAGCATCCTAACATTGTGAAAAGTAGCCTAGAAGCGAAAACAAGCACATAGTTACCCGGCCCGAAACAGCTGATTTTGACCGGGATTTTGAAAAATTGTGAACAGGAGCACATGATGATGTAGGAGCTTACTCGAAGCAATACCATCGTTTGGTTAGCTAAAACAACATAACGACTGTACTAGTGCAGTCGGTATACTTATCATCAATGCATTAAACGAATAATGTTACTTTCGTCACCGATTCAATAGAAAGATAGAAAAAACAGTGCATAGTTCTGATTATGTGCGTTATTCCTTGCATTATATTTTACAGGTGACCGTGTCTTCATTCTAGCATCATCAGGTAGCAGACGAATAGCGGATTAGCTATTGTGTGGACAAACATGTGATTGAGCATATATTATGCAGATAAAGTTCAAATTTTTCAGAGAATGTAAATGCAATTATAATACGACACTGATAAAACATGGCTCATTTAAAGGTAAATATTACAGCATCAAAAACATGATGAGAGATGGTTTTAGTTCACGTAAATAACATTTATTCTAACCTATCTTAACTTCTGATCAATTTAAGTATAACTTGACAGATTCTATTACTAGTTTAAGAATTATATCAATTTTTCATTCTTATCTATTTATAAAGAATAATTTAATTGAATTTAATTAGACTCTGTAAACATTATTACATATATTTTTGTATGATAAAGCATCTTTTTCATTTTTATTTGTTTATCACACTAATTTTGTTTCTTTTTTACAGAGAAAAAATAACTGGTGTATACCATCATTTGATTGCGAGCCTATAAATAAAACCTCATTAAAACATGCTAATGTATCACAATTGAACAAGACTTTGGTGGATACATCATTTACACAAAGTAATTTCAAGAAAAGGAAACGTGAAACCAGCTTAGCAAAATTATTGGAAGCTTGTGAACCACAGAAGCTTTCTGAATTGGCAGTTAGTAGACAGAAGCAAAATGAAATCTTTGATTGGCTTCAACACAGGGCATCAAGAAAACAGCCATCTATGCTGGTTCTCTCAGGTCCTTCTGGATGTGGCAAAACCACAGCTGTAAAATTGCTTGCTAAGGAAAATAAATTTGATATTATAGAATGGATCACTCCTATGGATCCTGTTGAAGATGAGAATAGTAATGATTACTACTTGATATTTGCAAAAGTATTAAATTTAATCAAACTTTTTAATATTATAATTAAATTTGTAATTGCTCTTAGAACGCATAATGCGGCAAGGAGACAGATTCAAGGATCATGTAATTCGTGCAACACGTTACCGTACAGTATTTGGTGATTGTTTCAAACAATTACTTCTAGTTAAAGATCTTCCAAATGTCTATCAAGAGGATCACAAAAGCTTCTTTGCACTCTTAGAGTAAGTGATATTTCAACTGTCTTGGATAAATTGCTTAGGTTCTAGTCTATGATTTTTACAAATATTGTTTTACAGAGAATATTTCGAAATAGGAAAAGAGCCTGTAATATTTGTTTTCACAGAGACAGGAAACTCAAAACTGATGCAGACTTTGTTTGCTCCTGCTATAAGGGAGAAGTTTGGTATCGATCTTATCCAGTAAGTTAATTATTTGTGTGACTAAAAATTAATTCTCAATGTATACAATTTTAATTGTAATCTTAATTTTTTTTTGATGCAGCGTGAATGCAGCCACACAAACTTCGATAAAAAATGTGCTGAAACGAGTATCTGGTATATTAAATTCCATCGGTGGTGACATGTTGCACATCTCTCAGCAACACATAGATGAAATACTGGCCAATAACACCGGCGACGTGCGCAATGCCTTACTGAATCTAATTTTTATTTCTCTCAGAGGTACATGTATTATTAATTAAATCGATAAGACAGAATTTGCATTATTCTTATGGTTACTAGTGCCTGAACAACATGTCAAGAAAGAATGCGGAGCACGAGAGGAAACCTTGGGTCTGCTGCACGGTGTTGGAAGAGTCACGAATCCAAAAAGTAATTTGACTTCACTTTTAGACTGTTAAATGTTATATTTTCACAAGCTGATAACAGTTTATAATTAATTCTAGGGGAACCAAATGGCGATTCCTTCAAGTTTGTGCACGATCCTGAAGAAATAGCAGCATTCTTCCAATCAGAGTCAGTGGTGTTTGTCAAATTTCTCCAAGAAAATTATTTGAACACTATAAGAACTTTAGAGGAAACTATTGTGGCATCCGATATTTTGAGCTTTGGTGACGTTCTAAATTCTGAATGGCGTGTAAGTTTCTATTAAAAATATCACTTTTAACATGAAATTTGTCATTTTTTTGTCATTTTAACAGGATCGTAATTTGGGTAAAGTTGCATTATCATACTGCATCCGTGGCTTGATGCTGGTTAATGAGAAGCCTGTAACTGGCTGGAATCCAGTAAGAAAACCGCGAGATGATCATAGCAATATGTAAGCTTCAGTATGCATTAATAATTTTAATAATTTTATTGATTATTTATTTTAATGCATGTATTTATTTACAGGCGGCGAAACTGTCTAGCAACAGCAGAAACACGCTGGTACGAATCAATAATTAAACCCGCTTCGAAAAAAACAGAAAAAATATTAGACGAAGATATGGAAGTAATTATTGAAGAGGATTAGAGTATTATATTATGTATTAATTATTATATTATGTATGAGAGGCAGAGAGAGAGAGGGAGAGAAAAATCTTGTAATTTTGTAATTGTAAATCTTTATTTAAGTTCTTATTTCTTTCCTCTCAATTACTGTTCCTAAAAAATAAAAATTAATTAAAAACTTTACTTGCACAATGTATTTTATATTTATATTTATTAATTTTATAATGAAGAAAAGGAAGGAATATATCAATATGCGTGCATATGTACAGATCTGAACTCTTTTACCCTCGTCACATGATCCATTTTCAGGGTGCTGTGTCCAGGCGGCGCTGAAACTAAACTCCTACTTTTAGAAGAGGGAGTTTGCACCCTCTGTTCGTGCCTGTCATGTGGTCAATATTTCAGTCACGTTGGTCACGATTTGTGCACAGGATCGATAATGGCTCACGCAAAATACGCGTAAAATAGAAATTATGGATTGCAGAAATGTACGGCAACAATGCGACTGCTCCGCTGCAAAGCCCGTGTCGAGGACGTTATGAAAATCACAAGTCAGAAGAATGTCAGTAAATTCTTGCGCTCGTTGTGTTTGCAAAACAGTTGTAATTCCGTAAAGGAGTTACTGATTGGATTTTGTTGACGGAGTAAATGTTCTGGAAAGCATGAAATGCGAAGGAACAGTCTTAGAAGAAGCACGTAAGTCTACTATTACTTTATACATCTAAGAAATGTATATTGTGATAAGCAACTAATAGAGCTTGTCTCACAGAGTTAGTCCAGTGACGCAGAAGGTGAAGGCTCCGCAACATTTGCTAAGGCTGAAAGACGAAGAGGATGAGTTTAATGACGAATGGAACGATCGTTTCCGACTGCCCAGTTTGCCAAGAAAGAAATCATGGAAAGACAATGATAATGGCTTGTCTAATGGAAACAGCGCAACAACATCAGTCTCTTGGTCACAGGAGGTGGAAGATGTGGCAACTCAGAAGCTGGAGGAACAGTGGGCGGTTGTGGAGAAGTCCTTTTACGAGGAAGATGATCAATTGATTCAAGGATCTGTTTTGGATGAATGTACACAATGGAGAACACAGATACCATACTTGAGAATACTTGGCAGGAATCCAACTTGCACGAATAACAACAGTGCAATTGCGCAGCGTGACACTGGTTTTGCTGATAAAAAAGTGAAAATATTTGATGATTCACAAAATGATGACTTATACATGGAATATAATCAATCAATGAAAGTAAGGGAAAGAATAAAAATTTTTTTTTGATTGTGTAACATGTAATACATATGTCTTTTTATATTATTTATAGGAAGCAGAGCATTCTACACCATACAAATTAAATAAGGCAAAATTCGAAGATGTTATTGACATGCTGGTGGAGTATATAATGTCAGAGCTTTTCCCTAACAAGGAGAATGATACAGATTTTTTATGTGAAAGCTTAAGTGATACTTTAAAAATAGCTCCCGCTCCTGTTCATAACAACAGAAATTCATCAAGAAATTCGACAAAATTAAATTGGACGGATGAAGCCATTTCACCCAATTACATTGAGAACAAGTCTTTGAGTATAAGAAATCGATTGCTAGATACAGAAAGCTCTTTTCAAACAGGCAAAAATGATGCAAATTCTCAAGGAGTTCAAAAGTAAGATTAAAATAATATACAAAAAACTTGCAATTTGTATTTCTTAAATTTTATATAATCTGATTTTTCTAGGAGGCGAAAAAGTTCAGTTTCTGCAAATAAGCCGAGAAATTTTAGTACGGAAGATGATGTATCAGAATCCAAGGAGAGACTAGACACTCCACATATAGGCAGAAATAAATTGGGCACTGTCTTTAACGAGAAGATTGTTGTGAGCCCCGTGCCTTTTGCAGTAACTACGCGAGAAAGTTTTTCCACTTTAAAAACCATTCCGATTCGATTCATGAGCGAGAATATGGAAATTTCTTCTTTTCAAGGTAGAAAATGAGTTATTCTAACCTGACTAGATTAATTGATCAATATACGATTTGTATTAAAAAATTCTCTAATGTTTAGGATCAGCCAAAAACATTTTAGGTTTTCCAGGAAGCTCCGCGAAAAACTTGATTGCTCTGAGAAATGCGAATATTCATTCCGCCTGGCAAGCGCCTGTTTGTCCCACTGTCTGGCCGAAAAATGTTCGACTCGCTCCCATAGATGCTTCGAGACTTCCTAGCAGCAAAAATAGGTCAATAGTTTATCAGAAGTTGAAATATTTTTTTATTTGTGAGTAATGTGAAAATTTCAGGTGAAGAATATGCAAATGATGAAAACAAATTTCAGGTCACTAGCACCCTCACCCGCTGTTCTGCATTGCAGCAGAAAACCATTAAGTCCGATTTCTCGTTCCGCGGTACCGAAATCCGCGTACGCGACTCGCGATCGTCACAGCGATCTTTTACAGATCCAGGGGAAGCACATCGTTCCCGCGCAATCGAAGATCAGTTTGCTCTCGGCTGGCTGGGACTATAATCCCAGAACCACCAAGAGCAAGAAGAAGAAAGTCCGAGCGAAGGAGAGAATCTGAAGGAAGGCTTAACGCGAAAAATGGAAAGCGCTTTCAACACTTGCTTGCGATATAAAATATATTTTTTTAGAAATGTCGTTACGTGTTATCCTGCGTGCAATCGCGAGGGAACCGAAAAGTACAAAAAATGCTGCTTCAACGCATTCGGTTTCGCAGCAGGATAGATGCTTGAAGCACGATGAAACGCTTTAAAATGTCATTGTGTAATTTATGGAAAATGATCGTCGCAATATATATATGCGAGGCGATGTTCTATTTTAAATATCGTTTATTTCAAAGATGATATAACAAGTTTCTACCTCACCCGTGTTGTTCAAGTGTTCTACACGCTTATCGTGAATGGATATATTTTTGTATACCGCACAATTCTGCATTGTAAATATATTGAATGTGATAAATATAATAGCGTTGTTGTTGAAAAAATATAAAATTGCATTGTTCTTCTTGCCCTAAAATTGGAACACTATTCAAAGAACCTAAAAATGAAAAAATAATTGTAACAATGTTTCTGACATTTTCACATTATGTTATAAATAACGTAAGGCTATTATTTTTTGTCTGTCGTGTTATGCGACGTTATGCTAGTAAATATATATCGTATAAAAAGGAATAAATGTTAGATAAAGACGAGTTTTTTTTATTATTATGTGCGCTTTATTTTTATACATTTACATATACAAAAAAGCGAATAAAATAGCGAACATAATATGCAAAGCAAACGCCACCATATGATATACAAAGCTTGAATAAAGGGTGCAAGGAACACGTTTTCAAACTTTAATTAATCAATATAAAACTAGATATTGAAATACACGTACAATTGAAATACGCACGCACGCACAAAGATATTTATGAAATGTATTGTTCTTTTTGTGATAATTTTGTGGACACAGATTACTTTAAATTAACATCAAATTTATTAGGCATGTAATAAAATATCCTCTTTAAATTATTAAAATATTTTTCACGTTCTTCTAGCTGTAATATCGTTTATTCCCCGAGAAACACGGGGATTGCAAAAGGGGTTGTAAGAAATCCAATCGAGAGCGGCATTTGCGCAAGTTCGATGTCTTTGGCACCGCGACGCTTTTCCGTGACACGTTTAGTTTCGCGCAGGCTTGCAAAGGTGAAGGACGTTCCGACCACAGGTGAAATTTTGGTGAGTTATATTAAAAATATTATATTAAAAATATTATTATATTGTGGTCAAAAGAAATTACACAGAGCGTTTAAGAAATTTTTCATCAAAATGCAACAAATACTGCAAAATTATTGCTAAAAGAGTTTATTTCTTCGATATAAAGTAAAAGTAAAATCGAAAAACACAATTTTTTAGATTTAAATTTTAAAAATTTACATGCTTTTATTGTTTAATATAAATGTCACAATGTACTCTTCAGAATCTAAAATCACAGCAAGATTTTGCTAATAAGAGTAATGTTTTTAGAGATATTAAAAATATTTTTAAGAATGCAAGACATTAATGACTTAAAAAATACAAAGATGTTTTTTTATAAGTTTCCAAAGTTGAATTAAAAAATATTGTTCAAGAAATTACAAATGACATATTTCTATTTCAGAATCTCTGCTAAAGGACGCACGTCTCATGATAACTCAGACGAAAAACCTCGTGAAGGATTCTACCGGCGATATGTCCACTTACGAAAGGCCGGGTGAAATGCATCATCTAACGACGATAACGAGGGTAATAGGGGTGTGGACCGCTATTGGTAAGTCAATTAATTCATGCTAATAATTAACATTTTATCCCCGCTTCTATAATTTGAAATCCGGAAAGATACATCTTTGAAAAATGTGGAAAAAGGCTTTGATAATTTAAAAACTGAAACTTAAAAATTTGAAAACTGAAGAACGATATGCAAATGTAATTGTAAAAAAGTGTAACGATGCTGCTTAGAAACCGTTTCGGTATCGAATGACTTTATCTGGTCCGAATAGAAATTTTATCTCAAACACCACGACGAGATAAAAGCGATCCTGTTTGCTGCTTCGAAAGAGACGGCGCGCGTGGATGTTCCGCTTTTCATTACCGCGTGAAAGGTAAGGGGACCTTGTCTACGAGGCTCTTTACATCTACTTAATATTAACGAATCGTTATAACACAGCGGAAGACAGTGGCTTGTCCCTCCGGACATCTTCCATCATGTCTTTCAAATCACTCCTCATGGAACATTTACGAAAATTACAGCGCGAATAGCAGTCCTTTATATTCTCGAAAAAATTTCAAATCCACCTGAAACAGTAATAAAGAAGCATAATATAGCAGTGCGATCTTATTATTAAAATAATATTAGTACAAGAATTTTACATCTAGCAAAATATTATTATTTATATTCCGAATCTAATAATAATTAAATACTTAATTAAATTTTATATATAGAAACAAAAATAATATAATGTTTAGCAACATCTAGAATACTAATAATTAAATAATAATAAAAATACATCAAGGAATTCTTGCAATTGTCACACTGTCAAGTTTAATTGTAATACTGATAACGCGTATTTCACGTCACGTCTGACAATCTCATCTCGCGTCTCGTCTTCTCTCCTTCCTGTCAAACAGTAACAAGAAATATTCCGATGGTAGTTTCGTTAGTTTCGATGGTCCATTATCCCCGGATGAATGGCGAAAGCTTTTTCCCGACGAAGAGAAAGAGCTGTCGCGGCGTCGCGACGCTGCCAAAATGCCGCCGTCACGCTGACGTCATCGACCGTGCGACGTCGCCGCTGACTCATCCGTCGTAACCACATCCGAGGTGAACACAGTTCGGGATTAATTGCCCGCGACAATCGCGCTTCGAATTGGCTCTTAATTCATAACACTTGGTGCACACTCCCCCTTTCTCTTTCCGCGGGCGGAGAGTAATTAGTGCGCGTGATCGATCGCGGTCAAGTAGATGGAAAATCACGTTCTAGAGCGTCCTAGAGCGTCTTGGACTTGCGATATTTCGCTATTCATCAATCGACGTTTAATCACCGACGCAGTTCTTGTGCCAAATGTATACCAAATATATCGCGAAAGATAGCGGATCGCTAGCAAAATTACAGTCGTAAAATATATTTATGTATACAAAGGGATTTCCTGTACATGTTTTTCCTTTTATCTTTTCGGATTTGGCAAATTTCGCATGTTAATTTGTTTGCTTTTTTTTCTTTTTTGTATCTCTTTTTTTATCTCTTGTATAATCGCATCGCAAATATCGCATCACGTGGCTCTTTGATTTAACGATTTGCTCTTTTCATCCGGCATTTGAAAAATTCGTTCACTAGACTTTTGACTGGTCCGCACGAATCTGAAAGATAATACTTTGCGTGAAAATATGACAAAGGGAGCGTTTTCGAGCGTGAAATTATTTCGCAAATTAATATAACGAAATATTTTTCTGACAAATTGGCGCTACGCCGAACGTTTCAGAGTTTTTATACATCGTGTAATAAAGACACATACACATACATTTCTCTCGCAACTTGTTTTATCGGTCGCGGTATTTAAATTTGTTGACATTTTTGTGGTAAAACGATTTGCAACGTAGTCGATATTCATAAAGAATATTATGTCGAGAGAATCACGCAGTTAAGTGCAGATCAAAGTTTGCTGGTATATAAAATTACATTGTGAATTACGTTTGGTAATACCGGTCGTGTAATCTGCGCGACGATCCTACCGTCCACTGTGTGCTTTCTTTCCCTCCCCCACATCATAAAAAAAAATTATTATTTGTAAGATAAATAAAGAGCAGGGTGGAAAGCGGACGATACTGCAGTAGTAACTGTAGACAACAGCAAAAGTCTGACAAAATTGCTGACGGTTTCAAATAAACCGGGCGTTATTTATGCCGTTGGCATGCGTGAGGCCACCCGCATTTGCAGGACCGACTTTTTTCCGCTTAATCCGGAAGAGTAGCGAAGCGACGAGAGATAGAGAGAAAAAAAAAAGAGAGAATTTCACTGATAACGACGCGTTCGCGCGATGCGGCGCAAATCGCTCGACGCGTAAATCTTCCGCTATTATTTTTTTTGCACCGCATACTGGAAAAGAAAAAGAGAGCTTTAGTCGGGAAAGGAGAACTCATCGGTCCCATTTATTCGAGCGATCCATAATTGAAAAGGAGTGCGAGAAATCTGCGGTAGAATTCTATATGTGCTCTTCCCATCTTATGTACTCTCTTCCATATAAAGAATCTTTTCGAATCACATTAAAATATGGATAAGCTCGCGCGCAGAGAAGAGAGAGAAAGAGAGAGAGAGAG